GAAAAAGCTCAAAGGAACTTATTGTTTCAAACTTAGCCCACCTTAGAATCCTTAGCAATGTTAACTGCCAGTGATGGAAAGAAAAGGTTTAAGAAATACTTAATGTGCTAACATTGTGGGAAAAAAGGCCATGTCAAGGAAAAATGCTATAGATTAGTGGGCTTTCCTAAAGATTTGAAGTTTACCAAGTCCAAGACAAACTTCAAAAGAGAAAAGTCTGTGGCAAACAATGTTACCAGTCTGAATGAAGATCAGTCTATAGTGACACAGCTAGATCAGAAAGAAGATTCAGCTAAAAATGGAGCTATGTCCCAGATATCTATCATCAAACAGTTAGTTAGCAGTCTAATTGAACTCTTAAATAAGAATGGGATCACATGTTCTGATGGTAAGACGTCTTCACAAAACAGTCACCAAAACAGACCATCCTTGGTCAACTTAGCCTTTGCAGGAATTATTTCCAACCATCAATGCTTCAACACTTCAAATAACATGCCATTTGATTTTAGATAGATTAATAATCTCATGTTTAAACAAAATAGCTAGATTTTGGACTCTGATGCTACTAATCATACTTGTCATTCTTTAAACAGATTTGTCTCAGCTAAACTAGTTAGTGATTACGTTGTTCACTTACTACATAATGGGAAGGGACCTGTTCTCACATACGAACAACTAAAGTAATCCCTTTACTAGTACTTAAAAATGTGTTGTGTGTTCCTAGTTTTAACTTTAATTTGATATCAGTAGGATAACCAACTCAAGGAAAACGTGTCTCCTTTTCACTGATGCATATTGTATTATTTAGGACCTTCAATAATGGATAGTGACTAGGGTAGTTAGAGCATCTTCATGATTGTATCTGATGTAGGATATCCGAGTTGAACAAGATTTGTCTCAATTTTCTTTTCAAAGTCTTGTTAAGAATCTTATTGTTTCTTCTGTTGATTCCTTCAAGCCAAAATACAAAGACTTTGATTTATGACATTTTAGATTGAGGCATGCCCAAATGGAAAGAATTAATGTATTGCACAAAAATTTTCCAGAGATTGATTGTTCAAATCACTTGTTGTGTGAAATTTGTCCTGTAGTAAAGCAGAAGAAACTGCCATTTCTAGTTCACACTCAAAGTACAAAAATAGCTTTTGAGTTAGTACATATGGACATATGGGGTCCATATGAAATTTCAACTCTTAATGGTCATAAGTACTTCTTGATTATTGTGGATGGTTTCACACGTTTTGCATGGGTATATTTAATGAAAAACAAATATGATGTGGCAATCATCATACCTGCTTTTAAGAATTGGGTTTAAAAATAGTTCAGTAGTTTTATAAAATGTCTAAGGACAAACAATGGTCAAGAGCTTAGACTCAATCATTTTTACAATGAAATTGGTATTGTGCATCAACTATCCTACATTGGCACACCACAGCAAAATGGTGTTGTGGAGAGAAAACATCAACACATTTTAACTATGGCCAGAGCTTTAAGACATCAGTCTAGTGTCCCATCAACCACAAGCATTGATTGAAATTGTTCTTAATACAGTAGAAGAATAAAAGTAGCAAAGCAACAAGTTATCAGAAGTCTGCTGTTGTAAATAGCCAAGAAATGCAGACTTAAAACGCATCGGATTGATAAGAAGCTAAAGAAGAAAGAAGAAACTCCAAAGTGCACCGTTTTATTAAGAGAGGTAGTTAATTAACTTTTAAATTCCTATTAAGTTAGTTAATAGGATGATTAGTTATGCTATTTTGTCTTTTTCTTTATTTCCTTCTACATTGTACATATATAGACTTTTGTAATTTTTCTGATAATGGAATGAATCTGTGAATTCCCAAAACATTCTCTAAATCATTATACTGTGTGAGACAAAGGTAACGACTTGAAGCAAGAAAGAAAGATCAATTACATCTTATGGTACCATATATTGTCTGATATGTAAATGCAGAACAATCTCATCCAATTATAAGGAGCCTTCCACTTGCCCTTTTACCTTCATTTTTATTCTTTTATTTTGGTTTAATGAACTTGGAAGTTGAGAACAAAGAAAAAGGAATTAGTCAGGGCTGCTGTAAATCCTCTCTGATCTTACATATACTTGAAGCTTACTATCAAGAGCTTGAGAGTTGAGATTCTTTGGGAAACATTACTTACAGTGGACCACTGTTTTTTGTCAAAAAGATAAGGCATGTCAACCACATCCACATGTACATTTTTCTCTTATCTTTTTTCCTTTCTGCTTGGTTTTACATGTGACGGAGCATATTTTATATTTACTGTCACTCAATATTCCATAATCATAAGCAAATACATGAGGATTTTAGACATGGCTAGAGAGTTCAGTACTGTTGTAGGAAATAGCCACGCCCATGCAGATGAAGCAAATCTTGTGGCGCAAAGCTCTGCCAGCCTATTTTTGCTCTGCATGATCATTATGTCTCTCTCCATTATATCCATTATCATTTTAGCTTGTGGCCATGATTCTGACTCTAAATCTGGCAAACCTCGCAAGAAGAAGACAAGTAATTACAATCACGCAATGAACACTGCTGATGGCGGTGGCAGTGGCGGTGACCATGGGCATGGGCATGGGCATCATGGAGGTGATGATGGCTGTGGAGGTTGCGGAGGCGGCGATGGTGGGGGTAATTAATCCTTGAAATGTAAAATTAGAGATGATGGTTTTTGTTTTGGGTTTTTCCTATGGCAAATAATTTCCACAGGAGGAATTGGTACTGCGGTCGCATTGCTTTCTTTGGCTTTTGCTTACGTTGAAGAGATGGTGAGAGCTTTGCGGTGTTCCTTTGTTATCTGCCATGTGTGCTTTTTCTTTTTCGAGCTTTTCTCTTCGATTTCAAGTTTAGTATTAGAGAAAATTTCTAGTTTTTACTCGCTTTTATTTGAATAATAAAGATTGCACTTACATCCAAAATTGATATATGAATGGAACGGTATTGTATTTTTGAAAATAATTTTTTTAATTTTAATTATTTTTAATTTAGAGAAAAGATTTTTGAATAAAATTGTTTTTAATAAAATCTCTTTATATTCAAAAGCATGTGTTAAAAAAATATTATTACACGTCATGTGTAAGGCGTTTAACTTCAAGAGTTTATATCTTAATGAAATATAAAAATAAAGACCAAGTTATATGTTATATTTAAAAAATAATATTATTACACACCATATTCAAAAAAAATATTATTACATACTATAAAGTGTTTAACTTCAAGAGTTTATGTTTTAGTGAAATATAAAGATAGAGATCAAGTTACATGCTCGGTTGAAAAAAAAGTTGTTAGATGCCATATGTAAGGTTACATGCTATATTGAAAAAAAAAGTTGTTACACATCATATTGAACTCTAAAAATTTATATCCTAGTGAAATATAAAAGTAGAGACAAAGTTATTAGCCATGTTGAAAATAATGATTGTTATAGGGCATGTTTAAGGTGTTTAACTCAAAAAGTTTATGTGTTAGTGAAATATAAAGATAGAGACTAAGCTATACACCATATGTAAAAAATATTATTGTTATATGTTGAAAAAAAGTTATTACATGCTATGTTGAAAAAAATTGTTATACAAGCCATATTTAAGATATTTAACTTCAAGAGTTTATGTTTTGTTGAAATATAAAGATAGAGACCAAGTTACACACCATGTTGCTATTGTTTAAAGTATTTAACTCTAAGAGTTTATATTTTAGTAAAATACAAAGATAGAAGAAATCAAGTTATATGTTATATATAAATCATGTCATATTCAATAGATTTGTTACACACCAAGTACATTAAAGTTGTCATATGCAGGCATGACGTGTAACTTTGAGCAGTATTTTAATTTACAGATTTTATTTGTACTTTTAACAAATTAACTTTGGAGTTCTGTAAATGTAAATTAATAAACCCAAAAACATATATTAATGTCATCTCTACTCATTGGTATGTAGATTGGCGACTATATGGTGAGAAATAAATAAAGAGATGATGATAATAGTAAAATTAAAGAGAGCTGGATGACAAATGCCAGACAAAGAAATCGATAGATTAGAGGGAGCTTACGAGAGAGAAAATGTGAGTACAGTAATCGAATGCAGGAGAGAGAAATCGAGAAAAGAAATTGTAATGAAATGACTTCAAGGGTAAATAGTTGACTTTACATTATGGGCTATTTTGAAATAATCTTATGAGGTTGATTTCTCACAATTTCCTCTATATGAATTTATGTGGTCATGGATTTAATGTGTTGCCGTGGAGGCTGAGGTATTGTACGCTGCTTGTTGAGAACTACAAGTTACAGAATGATTGTTAGGAAGTTCAACACACTCACCGGGAAGCAAACATGCTTGTTGATCAGTTGGCCAAGGCCGGAGTGAACGCCCTCAAGATTTGCTGTTGTTACTCGAGTAAAGGTAACCGGGGTAGTAGCTGCCGTAACAGAGATCTTTTTGTAAGACCCACATGTATACGTTCTAATTGGTCCGCTGCTTTTGTTTAGTGTGGCGTATTACTGCTGTGGTTCTGTTTTTTGTATGATTGTTTTGTGGCATTTGTCTTGGTTGATTACGGTGGAGCTGTGCTGGGAATGTTCACGCAGTACTGTCAATTATCTTCACTTGTAAAGTGCATGGCAGACCCTAATGCCCTGTTTTGTTATTTTCCAGGTTGATCCATGTGCATGCGCGAGTTTTGAAACAGGGTTCATTAGGTGTGAGTCCTGATGGGATAGTAATTTTATAGTACTCCATTGAGGGCTATTTTATTATAATTATTTTAAGTCCAAATGGTCCCTATATGATGACAGTACTTAAGATCGAACAAGCATCAATCCTGTTGAAAGGAAAAAAAGAAGTAAAACAAGCATCATATCAATATGATGAAGAGAAAGCATCAGATATATAAACGGCAAAACAGTGTCAAGGGGGCCTTTTCCTTTAGGACAAGTACTTGCAAGATCTCACTCCTACGTTCAAAATTGACATGGTTAGATCCTAGGTACTCGTCCCAAATGTGGCCCTAATTAGGTGATCGATTTCTTTATGTTGTTCACTACTACTTAAAGCTTGTTGGGTCAATGCAGAGGGTGATAAAGAGAGAGCAAGAACTGTGTCGATTTCTTGTATCCTTCCATCATTATCTTTCAACCCACCACAGCCATTGTCAAGGCTGTTGTGTAAACTTAAATCTAAGTTGAGTGACCGATATTTATCCTCTCTCAGTCTTCCTCTATTGCCAGTACTGCTCTCTTCCATTTGCGATGTTTCTTCATTCATATGATACGGTAGTAGTCTTCTTGCCCCTTTCACCTGCACCTCAAAAGCTTCAACATTTAGCAGAGGTTTCAAATTATTATATAGTATTCTTTCTGTCTCAATAAATTTGTCGCTCTTGTTCATTTTATTTTTGATTAAAAATTTTCAACTTTGATCTCTATTATTTTAAATAATTTAATTAATTAAATTTCACAAAAATATATCTTGAAACTACATCCTTGGAAGTTTTTAGAAAACATTTTTTTTTCATTTTTTATCAATTGTAAATATAAAATAAAATAAAGTTAAATTTTAAAAACTTTTACCAAATAAAAATTCAATAAGTAACAATTTTATTGAGACTTTGAGAGTAAATATCAACTAGTATCCAATTCAAATATAATTATCCAATATAAAGTCGGGGTACCACCAATTCAAAAATAATTATCTATGTTAGCAATACCATTTCAAATATAATTATCCAATATTAATGCAAAATCCTACATTTTTTTCAATAATAATTAGTAGAATTTTAGTTTTGAATTCTCTAATAATTACTCCATCACTTGATTTCTTATCCATAGACTGGTTATATTTTTGTAAGGAGAAAAGGAAAGGAGAAAGAAATTACCCCGGCAACTAGAAGAGACAAGGGTTGTTGACAGCAATTGAAGAAGGTGGGACTACTGCATATCTGAAACTCATCGTTGGAGGAATTGTTGGCTTTGCTATTCGAATTCCAACGGCAAGAAATATCTGAACAACTCCTACTAAGCTTACCTTGATTGGCAAACATTTTCCTTGGAGGCCACCTTTTGTCTTCAAGAAACCGGCTACTTCTTGCTATTGCTTCCCTGAGGTCAAATACGTGTGAACTCGTTAACTCATTGTTCCCATTTTGAAAGAATACCACTGTTGGCTCATTTTCAATCCCCAAGGTATTGTTGCATGGTGCAGCGGATCCCCAAGGCTGATATCTGTTGAGAGAAAGGAAGAAAAATTAAGTTATGAGACATTGAAATAGCTCGAGTGTGTAGAATTTGAAGAGGTTTTTAGGATCAATCGCACGGTTGCTTGAGTAGTACTGGTGGAGATGGTAAAGGGCTTGCATTGTCGATTCTAAAATGCCCACCAGGACTGAATCTCCTGTAAGTCCCAAGGAAATCTTCTCTTCCTCGCTTCACTTTACTTGTTTGAGAAACAACTGCATGTTTATAAAATATATTAAATTTATTTTTTTCTAAATGTATGTCAAATTAAAAGGTAATTTTTTTAATAGTTAAAATTAAAAATTAATTTTTTATAAATATCATATTTTTACATAATTTATTTAGATGAATATATGAAATAATTATATATTTGAATGTATTTTACTCCTTTAGTCTTATTTTATTTAGTCCTATTTGATTTTTTCAAAGATTAAAAAAGATTGGTTTTACTATATTTTATGCATATAGTTTCAAAACTTGATATGCTATGATTTTTAATTGCACTATTGAAAATATCCAGGAAAATAAATTTAAAATATATATAAAAAAGAGTATTAGATCTTCAACAAAAAAAAATAGACATAATTTTAGATTATCCAAAAAAAAAAGTAGGCAAAGAAATTGTGATAGAAGGAGTATGTTTTAATCAAATATGATTTTATTTTTCTGAACGTTTTGCAATTTTTGAAAAAATAAATAAATAAAAGAAATACTAATAAAATTAACAACTAAATACAGAGCGTAAAAGTTAATTACTGCATTCTTTTAGTTTGGAGGGGCTACTATATTCAACGAAGTCATGACCAAATATAAAGCAGGTAGGATAACAAAGTTCTTATAAAGCTGAATCACCTTGGCCCAATTTATCAAGCTTCTTACTTCGATACATCTGAATCACGAAATATATATTCGTTAAAATAGACAAATAAATAAAAACCATACTTTCAAGTCCTAACTAGCTGAATATTTTCCAATAAGATGATGCTTTACTTGGTTGAGAAAGAAAAAAGAAAATGAAATTAAGAAAGTTAAAAAGGGGCAGATTTCAGGTTGAGTATTCAAATGCTTATCAACCACGTTGTTTGGTTCTATATAGTACCTGCAAGTGACTCTTTACATGGGCAATGCTCAGTCCTCTAATGTTCATCATCTGAAGAACCAATTTGGGAGTTGCTCCTTTTCTCATCCAAACAAAAACAATTCTTTTTAATTACAAATTAACTGTAAATATATATTTATATATATGAAGATACCTAATCCTAAAACCAACAAATAATTAACTCTGAGTTATTATTAGTATTACATCATGTTGAAAGATTGAGATATATTCCAAGTAAATGAAGCTTACGTTCTTGGCCACCAAGCCTTTCGACAGCATGCACAAAAGATAGATGGAGATCAGGTGTCCAGCGAAGCCTTGGCATTTTTGACCGTACGTATTGTCTTACTCTGCATGTCCTTTCTTTTCCTTGGGAAGTTGTTTGGTTATTAGCATTAATCTCGTCGCCATCATTTTCATAGCCAATGGCTTCTTCATTTAAATCAAAGGATGGAAGCTTCTGAAATCCAGCTGAAGAAGAGGTTTCAGCTTGAATATCACTTTCCTTTTTCTTTTCATCGGATATCTCAATTCTTTTTACCGTGTAATTTGCCATATGTTAATCTTTAATCATGGCATCCTCCGTCCACACTTGTCAGTACTAAGAGAAAAAATCACTGTTGGAGATCAAAGACAAAAGTTAATTAAGGCAAGAGAAAATTAAAGGAAAAAGTAAAAAAGAAACAAAAGGGAAACAGTGGCTGGTTTACGTATTCTTATAGGATAGGAGTATGAACATTCTTCAGTGATCTCAAGTGTGCTGAACTAAAATGCATAAAAAATTATAAATATAAATGAAATCAGAATCTACCAAAAATCTTTCTGAAGTTTTTTTTTTCCCTTCAAGTTGCCTCACTAATTGGATCTGTGGAGTTCATATATATTATATAATATATTCCTTAAAATATGGATCGATGCAAAATGTAATATGGTCGTTACATATATAACTTATGAGCATAAAATGTTTATTATTAGAAGGCATTTTGTTTATTTTGTGAAAAAAATATATAAGAATTATATATTTTTAAGTCCTAGCCCTAAGAAGAGGAAGGATTCTTTGCTATTACTCGCTTTGCATGCAAAAAGCATCTCCAAGAAATATAAACACGAGGTTGGACACTGGAAACTGAGGAAAAAAAAACAATTATTTTTACATATATAAAAGAGAAAACAATTATTTTTGGACGTGTAATTGTGTAGAACAAAACAAAAAAAAATATTTCCGGTACAAGAAAAAAAAAATAGAAACAGTACCTTAAAATAAAGCTCTAACACCAAGAAGCAAGAAAACCAAGTAATTGTGAAAACCAGATATTGGTGTAATTAACTTGAAATATTGCCCTTCCTTGAATTGTAGCGATTCTAACCTTAGTTTCATGTTAGAATCAGAGTCATGATGGGAAGATTAAACAACCATATTCTTAAAAAAGCTTTTTCCAATATATATAAACTAATGAAATAGGTAACATCCAAGTACCGGACAAGAGTGGAAGAGATAATTTCTGGGAAGAAAGTATTGATGAATATTCCATTACTTTTAAGTATGCATGATTATTTTAATATGAAAACGATAAGTAAAATTCAGATCATATATAGTATGAGGTTAATCTGAAATTACCTTTGAAATCACTTCTAATCGATTATTGAAGCCACAATCTGTGGATCCAGCTGCCAACGCTTTCTTAGAATTATCCCAAGGCCAGCATAGAATAGTTATGTAACAAAAGAGTGGTTGCACCAGCTAGCCCTTCATGGATCTACATCAAGCACTGAAGAGACTGGTCGAGACAGACAGACAGAGAGAGAAAGAGATCTTTGATTTGAGGTATTGTTGCTCTCCCTTTTGAAATGTGAAATTAAGGTCTGCATTAATGGAACTTAATTTGGTAGGAATGCCCTATCCATCATTAAACTTGAAATATTCCCAGACTTGGAATATAATAATTAATATTTGTTTTAGCTTATTTTAATATGAGTAGGAGACGATGGTCGGTTACCACTTGATCTCTAGGGCTAATATTAATTAACAACAACAAAAATACAAATAGATGACCACTCTCTTCAAACTGTTGAAATCATGTGACCTTTTGAGCCATTCTCGTTGTACCATTTGTGTTGTTTTCACAGCTCCTTGGTCCATCTCTTCCTATTTCCCTATGCCAGGGCACTCAACCCTAACTCCAATTTTGTTTTCTCCATGTTGCAGATTAAGAAATCCCACATACTAGCCAGACTAGTGTCTTAATTCACAATTATAAAATGATTGATACATCATGTCTTTATATATTATATAAAAAGTAGACCATGCATCTTCTTCATTGAACTCGACCCTTTAGTCTCTATATTTTAACGCTGATTTTCTGTCTTATTGTTCTGATTGATGTTCCCTATGGCTGTAGTTTATATATATTTGTTCCATCGATCTATATTCTCATAATTTTGATCTTTTCTCCTAGTCCCCACAGACTTCCAATTGTATATATGAACCCTTGAGAAAGCTTATATTGTACCACCCAGGAAGCTTTCCTGTATGACGTCCTACCAAGAAAAATAAATACATATACATACCTATAGCCATATTGAAATGAGTCCCCAAAGGCCTCGTTGGACTCATAAAACCTACCTTGTATACCGTTCTTCCCCCATAATTCATTGAACAATCTTTCCTTCACTATATATTTAACTTACTAACTCTGCAATTAAGCAGGGCAAAAAAAAAAAGGCTAGTTATATGTATAAAGTATCAAATCAATCTGTGTTGCTATATCGTCATTTGTGAGTGCACTTCTCCATAATTAATTTTGCATTTAATTTAATTCTTAAATTTGATCCCATATTCAAACTTGAACATTATATAGTATAACACTTGACTCGTCCTGAAGGATTATACAATATGACACTTGACTCGTCCTGAAGGAGAAAATGCTTGCTAATCAATGATGTATATACGGGCAAGACACAGTGAAATTAAAAGACTCGATAATATTCCTTCATGTTGTCTCTCTTGTGCATGTATTTTGCCCTAGCGTCCAAGAATTTTCTTTCCAAGGCAGCTTAGAGAGAATTTGAAGAACTTGTCCTGACGTGATACAAATTAAGACTAATTGTTTTTTGTTTGGGAAGAGAAGAGGAATCATTTCAAGGATTAGGTTTGAGTAGAGATGCGTGACATTTTTCTTTGAGTTTGAACACTATGAGGGAAAGAGCCAAAGATGGAGGGAAGAAAACCCTTTTTTGCTGTGAGTAAATGAAGACAAATATTCGAAGGATTAAAGTAAGAGTTTTAATGGGGAAGAGTTAGCGGAAGAGAAGGACATTAGTCTCGTGTGGTTTAAGAAAATAAGGAATTCTCTTAATCCTACGTACCATTATAAATACTTCATCTTCTGTCTGTTCATGTGCATGGGAGTTGACATTGCTCCTATTTTATTAACCACGACGAATCTTTATCACTTCGTCTTTTGACTTGTAGCGGACACTCAAGCTCTAGTTGCATTTATAAGTTTATATCATACGAGAATTAGTTCGTATTTTATTAATTTTTTATTTCTTATTTTAAAAAATTATAAATTTAAAATTCAAACAAATTAAAACCTCAAGTGTTAACTATTTATAAAGTTATTTTAAAATCATGAAAGAAAAGCTTCACTAAAAAACCTCTTTATGAAAAAATCTAGTGAAAAGAAAACCATAAGAAAAAAGACTACCTTCTTAACATGTTCTCCATTATATAGCAATAGATTCTTTGCTTCCAACTTGACAGCAAACAGTTACAGCTGGTTCGCATTTTGCAAAATGACTTGTTTAACTCTGCTTGACAGATTACCAAATATCCTTCATACCAATTGTTCTTCCTCTAACAATGATCTTGTTCCTTAATTGCATTTAAATATATTGGCGTACAATTATCACTTTACAATTATCAAATAGAAATTATTAATTGTGTGTAACCCTTTTCCACTGTTATTGCCACACTAGTTACTAATCCACTTGTATAATTAACACACAAATGCCATATCAAATACCGCATTAGCAGATTTAAACTGTCCATATTTATATATAATTAACAGTATAAACTATTTTCTTTGATTTTATAAGAATTGATACCTTAGGATTAAAAAAGAAAATCGTGAGTAGAGAGAGAGAGAGTGGTGCGTTGGCAAAAGAGACGCCGCAAACATAGGCAGCATAGGCGATCTAATGCTAAAAGGGCGAGAGAGAAGGAATTTCATGTGTTGTACGTATGCATAGGTCACATGTCCATGTTTAACGGACATTATATTATGTTATTTACATTTTGGGTGTAAGCATTTTTGGAGTGGCAGTAGCCAGAGTACGAGAACCAGTTCTGTCGGTTATTAATTAAGAAATGTACTTTCTCATCCCCATGCAGATTTCTAATTTTGTTTTTGATCATTGTATCTTACTTAACATTTTAAGTTTTATCATTAAGAATCTCAAAAAATTCTCTCCCACGTATCATACGGTAGTCTGAGCTTTACCATTCATCTATTAATTAAAAACATATTTGTTTTATCATTGTTATTAACTTAGCAATTAGTACGTTACTTATCAATGTCTTATTATATTGTCATTTTATTTGCATAATCCTAAAGCTCTACAAGCACATATGCGATGCTGATGTCTTGAAAGAAATATTTACTTGGTATAGCTTTCATGTAAGAAGAACAACAGGTGATCACTAGGAAACCATCAAAATATGGAGAAAGTTACTAAGCTTGTCAATGAGAGAGTGTTTTATGGTTGGGAGTGAACCAATATACACCACTACACTTGAGCTTGCGCAGGTGGTGATCAAGGCAAGAACAGGCTGGCTGATGAAAGCGCAGCGCCTGTTTGGCAAAGAGAATGTCACAACAAGGTAGCCATATTACCAAACAAAGACCAGAGAAGATATCACCAACTCTTATTGTCATTGAGCAAACAAAATGGGAAAAGAATGTCATTAAGCGCAAAGTTCCTCTCCAACTTTCAGTGTTCTATCTCACTAATAAAACGTGAGGTCAGTAAATCAAAGGATTACATTGGTGTAGTAATATGTACAAACGCCAAATGCCTAACTTCTATAAAAGCCCAAACGTTATTGCCAAGGCTAAGGACAACCCATAAACCATAATCCCCCAATGTTATTGTTATCTAATACCCAATTCCCATTAGAATGATGGTACAAGAATATTTCAAGTTCTAATAACAGGTCCCCTGTACAGCCCTCTCCGAATCACAAAGTTGTCAGGGGGTTGAAACTCTTCTAGCCAGGTCACTTCAGAGTACGTCACTCCATTCACTTCTATCTCACCTTCATTTAAACAACCAAAAAGGATCAGAGAAATCGATACACTACTTTTCTTCCAATAAGTCACGTCACAACATATTATACAAGTTACAATCAACAACTAGGTTCAAAATTATGTTTTCTTACCAGGTAAATCCCTTCTCGGGGACCTCCGGAAGTAAGTACAATGTCGTCCATGCTCCGAAGAGTAAGGTGGAGATAAAATATCAAAAAGGGCGCAGGGAGTCCGGGCCCTAAAGCAATGGATGTTGCCTCCACTGGTGGGATATAGCACTGTTGTTGCACAAGGAGCTGTCATCTCAGTATCCCTAACAAGTTTCGCAGGTCTTGCTACAAAGCACCAAGAATAAGCAAATCGAAGTCAAAGATCGAAGAATGTCTAACCGCTCTATACCCTGGAAGGGTGAAGAGAAAATGAATTAATTAAAATAAGAGACACACCAACACCTCATTCAGTAAAATGATCAAATATTTTAACTTCTATGGCACAAGCAACCACTATATTCACAAATGCTGCAGATAGACAGTTTTCACTATCATAAGCCCTCAAAATCACTTCAACTAATCAATAAAAGATATAATCCAGATCTAAGAAGTCCTATTTATTTAATTTTCACACTTCATTAGCCTCAATTGCATTTTGCATGCTTCACACAAGCCAGACATCTAACATGAGCCAAAATACATAAAAGAAACATAGAAAGGGCAACCACCTTAGCACATCCTTGAAAAGTGAGCTTACACCATAATACCCCTAAATTGAACAAATTATATCATTTGTGTGACCTGTTTGTTCATCAACTTCCCTACACTTAATTTTGCGAGCACCAAGATAAAGTTGAACACATCTACCTATAAGAACACACCCTTAGATTCTAATTTTGCCACTGACTTGGCTCTGTATCCCTGTTTCAGTGAATGGTTCTAATTTGAATTAAGGGATCCAAATATTTGGATGGGGTTAAACTATATTTAGAATTTGTGATTAGAAATCCAAACTGAACTCAATTAGAAAACTCATCAAATTTCGAAAAGAAATACTTTGGTTGGCTTCTATAACTATTCATTTGGTCTGGCTTGGTTTCAAAATGGAAAAACTGAAAATTTTTGTTGATGAAAACTCCATTCACACCCCTAGCTGAAACTAAGTCCAGTAGCAACCCAAAAACTAGCCTCCAAATATTTCACCAAAGCAGCAGAAGGATAATATTTCACAAGCATTCTCTCCAAGTTGGAAGTAAACCACATCTACACAAAATGAGGAATTCAAGAGGCCTCTCACATCCTTTAATGCTAGCAAAAAAAGGCTCTTTACATCTGCAATATATAAAGAATTATTAGCTGTAATCGAAAGACCTCCAGCATAGTATTTCCTTAGTTTTCTCCCTCTATTCCACTCAATTGTCGTTAAAAATAAACTTCAATCTCAAAATATTTCCTCACTGTTACTTTTAAACCAACCACTGGCACACAGATAACTACAAGCAATGTAGATTATATAGAAAACTGTATCTTATAAAGCAAATCCAGATATAAAAAGATGTCCATTTCTCTCTCAAGTCATACATAAATACTAATCCTATGAGGCCAAACGGTAGAGAACATGAGTTCCACAATATTTCTAACAGAAGAAGATTAACAAAATTTTATAAAAGGTACCAAATTTTCTACAATGAATTACCAGAGACAACTCCCGAAATAAAATTATTCTGAAAAGAATAAGAATGAAGGTGGGACTCATGAGGTTTCAAGGACCATAACAGAGGTTCTCATTACTGAGTCAATTACATAACAAATTTCAGTTAATAGGCATCAAGGAATATAAGAATGTAAAAACACACCTTGTAGTGGATCTTCAGGCTCTGTTGAATCAAGCCAATCATATGACTTTACATGTAATGAGCCATAGATAAGCCTGCTCAGCACAGTCATTCCTGGATGATTATGAAGAGGTATCATAGAGGAAGGCGGCATACAAAAAATTCCTATCTGCAGAGAAAGAGAAACACAAAATGAATGCCTGTTCATCTCAATAATTGCAACTTCAGTATTTAAAATTTTAAATATAATTCCAAGGGAAGTGTTCATTTTAATAAATTCCAGGGAGATTTCCAGATAAATGCAACTTCCTTGCATTAAAATTCTAAAAGTTACATGTACTCAATAACAGGTCATATCTTCAGCAAAAATAGCTGACAGCTGATGGGTTATGTGAAGTTTGTGCTTACAGAGAAGCTGTCACACTCATGTAAGTGCAGATACTTAATTGGCGGCAATGACTGATGGCTTCCATTCCGCTCATGTACAGGACCAGACCAATTACGTACCACTTGCGCTTCCTGTTCCAGACCTACATCAGAAGGCTTCATTTTCTCTGAAATAAAATGACATTTGGGTTAAAAATGGAGTGAATATGCTATGAAACTTAGAGTTTCATGCAAAAACAAACAATATGAAGAACAACCCTTAAATCTAAGGTTAAAAAGGTGAGGCTAAAAAAGTGGAAAATGTCCACATGAATAAATTGCATACAGAACTATCTAGACTCATAAAATCTACAACATTTATTCTACAGTCTATACCAGCTTCTTTGCCCCTTTTTTCCTTTTTCTGGAAATCCCAACTAGTTCGACCATTTTGAGAGTCAGATAATGAAAATCCTGAACTTAAGAAAAATACATTGAACATCCTACAGTTCAAAGAGCCAAACTATAAGAGCAAAAGTGGGGAAAAAATCAAGTCTTTGAATGAAAACATTGATTACAATTATCTACAATTTCTGAGAGCCAAAATAAGACACAAGGTGTATGAAGCATGAAAGTAAGTTCCCTAATAGCTATAAACTGACAACCTTCACCTTCTCTAAAGCCAATAACAACCTCCCCCACCCTTTCCCTGCCCAGAGAAAAAATCATCTTCTACAACAAACCTGATGACAATCATTTAATTTAGATTAGCCAGCTGCACACCCACCTGCATGAGTGTTTAAAAATAAGGAAGAGAAATTGGGAGAAGAATTATTTATAAATTAATGCGGCACGAGAGGGAAAATGTTAAGAGTTGAGAAGAAGTTATGTTGAAATTGAACATTTCGTTTTGTTTAAATAGAGAAAACGTTGAAAATAAAATTCAATCGATGTAATTATTCATAAACCGCTAATTTAATACTCCCCGCATTCCACAATGAGCAGCCATCTTTCCTTTTTAGGCATTTCAAAACCAAATCCTCTTTCCCATTTTGCACACATAAAACTCTTATTTTTCTATATTTTCTATTAATTCTTCATGACTTTCTTCCTTTTTCTGAATTAGAAAGTATGAAAGTTGGAGATCGCTGAGCTGGTAAATACCAATATCTTAATTTCATCAGTTTAGCATAGCCCAATCAAATTTACTTAAAATATGAAACCTGGAGATCACCTATCTTGTAAATTCCAATAATAATAATAATAATAATAATAATAAGCATTCATTAATGTGAATTGACCCTGTAACCAACAAAGCTACTTTAAACTATTATCTCAAACTATGTACATCATTTACAGAGGCACCTTCTCATTGCATTTGAAATAGGACAAAGATAACAACAATAAATTTCAAAAAATACCTTAAGCCTACACACCAACCTTTAATTCCCCCCTCATCCAATTTACACTAATAATAGTAAAGCAATCAATTGCTGTTAGCATCAATGTGTAATAGTATAAGGCAGTAAGAGATCAGTTGGCTTATAATGATAGAAAAAGTAATCTGACATTTTCAGACTTCATGATATTCAATATTAAAAGGGTTGCACCATATTGAGGTACAGAAGAAAACAGAACCCAGAAAGTTAAAACTATATTTTCAACAATGTTGTCTATGTGAACTTATCTTAACTTAGAAGGTTGGGAGTATAAGGTTTCTCTATAGAAACATATATATATATATATATAGATATATATATGGATCATAGTCATTATCAGAAACAACCATGATACTAAAAATAGACTACATAGCTACAATTCCATAGACAACAAGAAGTACAAAACAACAGAACCAAAAGTAATGATAAATGTTCCTTGGAGGAATGAGAGCAAAACAGTTTTCCAAAGAAGCATATGTATATCACTTACTTGTCATTATGGAAAAACAATTATATTCAGCACATAAATATGCCAAAAACCTAAACATCAAGGGATTGGGCTTTCTTCTCTCTCAACATGGACACTAATTAAGGTTGGAAGAGGAGTTTGAAGAATAAGTTCACAAATCTAGAGAATGCACCTCCTCTCTACAGGCAGACTTCAAGGAACTCTAGGCTTCCTGTTTTATATATATGTTGCTAAAAACTAACATGTTGTTTGTTAGAGACAACATTGAAAAATTAAGCACTGAATTTTTTGTTCTTACAGTGTAAATACTGAATTTATACAAAAAAAAAATTTGTTGTAATGCTGCCGGAAATTAAATATTGGGCAGATCTTTTATTGATTTTTTTCTAAAAGCAACATGCAACTTTATGAGGATTTTTCATTAATAAAAGTTAAAAAAGAAATAACATAAAATTAACGTAACTAAAGAATAAAAATTTCCTTATAAAAGATTGTTGAATACATTAGGTAGGTTTTAACTACATAATTATTTCAACTCTTTTCATGGAAAATTTTCCATTAAGGTAGCATTTGGTAACTTTCAAGATCAATGTGGTGATCTAATCACCGTGGAGATTAGATCACAATGTGATGTAATCACTAGGAATCTTAGATTATCATGTTTGATCTAATATTACAAATCACCAGTAATCTTAAGTCACTATGTGGTTTTGCATAGAAAAAAAGGATCATCGAGTACAAAGTATCGAAAATAACCTTAATTTTATAATAAGGATAAAAAAGAAAGCAACAATTTCAATTTTTATTGAATGAACAATTTATAAAAAAGAAATCCTACTTTCTATAGGAAATTACAAAGCATGAACCAATTTTGATAAATCTAATTTTCCAAAGCAACCAATCAAAGTCATCAGCTTGTTCTCATGAAGTCCAAGGTCACATAGGTTGCCTTGTAATTATACAAGGGTAAATTTATCATAAATGATTTAGGAGATCACTCCTCCTGGGTGATAAAAACATTGATACCCTTTTTGGATGAGATTTAAATCATCCCTCAAGGCAGTAATATAATCACTTTCAGTTATCTAAGATCATTGCCGCATAACTTTGAAGATAATAATTTTCAATGGTTTCAAATTTTCCATGGTTTATCAAATAACAGCTAAGTTGCAATAATCACCTCTACCAAAGAAAAGCATTTCTTCAATATTGTGGTATCCCCTGGTTCTTAGAATATAATTACTCACAAGGACATCTTAGTCCTTTGAAGTGCTGATATATGTCAAGAGCAACCAGCTCTAAAATATTCAAAAATGGATCTCTTTCCATTAAACCCATTGATTAGAGGGGCATATGCAGCATTTGGGAGGAACTGGATCAACACATTTGAATCTCATTATATTCTTACACCAACCAGTGAATATTTTCTTACTGTTGAAGATATGTATTGCACCTTCCAATAGTTCCCAATTACAGCTAATTAGCATGAAAGACTTTCAGAAAAAATATTAGCTTGCTTAGAATTCCATAAATGGCACACTAACCCTGGCACTCTTAACGGCTTTGAGCCTCAAGGGTCTTATTTTATTTATGCAACATCTAGATTTGTTAGACCATAAAGCAGATAGCATCAAGCCACTCAAGGCTCGATTAGGAAAATGGCAATTTGTATATAAAAGGTGATGCAACTACCACAAAAGATACTGCTACACTTCAAACCTAAGGTAGCACCAACAAGCATTAACACTAATATTCCATTTCTCTGTTCAAGGGCAATTTTTCACAAGATGGGAGCATAGACTTCTACCGTCGGACCTCAAAAAAACAAAAAAAAAAAAACACTACAATCAGTGTACAGAGATCATCCTCAGACCACAAAAGAGAAAGGGTAAAATAGAGCACCCCAAACACTATTTTCTATTTTGTATCTAGAAGCACCCAAATGCCAAATAATTCTCAAGGTCTCCAACTAATAAAAGAACTGTACCTGCTCTACAATAATGGAGCAGATTTTGAATGTGAAGAAGGCAGAACAATTTGCAATTTGAACTCATGATAGAACAAGCTCTTGGTACTCAAGAAACAGGATCTTAAATGATGGGATTAGTTGCTACTATTTTAAAGATTGACGAATGCCTAAAGGCAACTGGCAGTGATCTTTTACCATCAGACATGGTGGCTAAAATGATTAATTTTAAAGAAATCAAACGAAATAGAGCTTAACAGCAGAGAAAAAGGGATATAATTTCCTTAAAAGTATAACAAGTTCTGATATAGGTATTTGTGGGGAGGATAACAAATTTATCACTCTACTCAAATTAACTTTGTCAATAAAAGGGCCACTTCCTAAAAGGAAAAAAAAATTGAACTTAGAAAAAATTACAAACTTAACATCCCCAAAATTGAAGCTTAGTAATTTATGAATTTTAATCACTGAGCCACAAGGAAACTTGATGTCTCTGTTAGCCAAAAAGCATGGAACTATTTTATTGGTAGATCATGGACTTGACAAGAAATGGATACGCTTGGGGAGGCATGAAGCAACTTGCAACAGCTGATGTCATCCAAAGAAAGATCCAACTGACTTAAATTAAATAACCTAAGAGTAAAATTAACATGTTTCAATTTTGATGAAAAATGTCATCACAACTAAATGCTAGAAAAATTGAGCTTTGATGGTACTTTATGACTACCACTTCTAAAAATATACAGAAGATTAAGAACTGCTTTCAACAAGGTTATATCTCAATAAGAATAACTAATAAAGCATAGCAGACTTGGTTTAACCATAAACTCAAAAAATGAACACGAGGCAGTGAAAGAATCATTATTGAATACCTAGCATAGCACGAACCCTTTCAAGAGCTTCTTCAGAAACCGGGCCATTGGGCGAGAATGATGCTCTGCAAGTATTATAAAGTCTCTGTATATAATAGGGCATGTTTGTAAAGACGATACCAACTTAACTGAACAGACCAAAAGCCTTGATGTCAGTAAGCTGATAACGCCTTTCTGCAAGAAACTCACTAGTTGATACTGCGATAAAAGATACAGTTTGGTGACAACTGGATCTGCGAATTAAACCGACGGTAGTAGATCTGCATGGCAATTATATCATCATCCTCCAAGCTAATCTCCCTTACAACCACCCTATTGAACAAGGCACACATTGAAGCCAAAGTAAATAAATTTAACTCATTTCCAACCAAAACACTGATTAACTAAAGAAAAACATAGCCTCCCTCATAGCATTTTCTAAGGATTGAATGCATAATTTTTTATAATTACTATTTCTACACTAACCCTCCCATAATAGAAATGCAAGGAAATTGATCAAATTCTAAACTGAACCTGAGACAAGCCACGTAGTTCAATTAACGTAAAATGTACTAGCAAACAATATTAATTATTTATCGTTCTTAATTTTCAAAAATAAAGGTTAAATACAAAAGAAAGCAGAATCTATATTTTTCCGCAGGATTTAGGTTTACCAAATTTAAAAAAAAAAACAAGAGGGAATCAAAATTACGATGAACATAAAATAGGATTGAATAGCAAAAATAAACAATTAATTGCAAAAAAATTGCAAGAAATAAAAGCAATAGCGGAAAAAAGGGAAAAAGGGACAATAGAATAAAAATTGAACTGACCAATTTGAGATTCATCAACTGGTAATAAAACCCTTTGGAAGAGATGCGCGTGGAGACTTAGGATAAGAGAGAAGAAGGAGTTCATAAGCAGCAGAACAGAAAAGAAAGAGATCGCTGAGCCTGAAAGCAGAGACACAAAGCGAGACAGGCGAACCAAGATCTTGGACACGTCATTAACCTCTTCCCAGTGTTTGGTTTTCCCTTTCGGGGGCCCACACTTGGTGCTCTCCCTTCTTATCGACCAGCTACCGCGTGCGCCTACTTATACCACATTATTTTACAAAATTACCCTAAAGTAAAGTAAATTATAAAAATAACACAAAAGTTAACAAAAGAAAAATATTTACTTTTTGCACTATACGACCAATTTGATATACAATCCACACTTTAGAGACTTATGGATGTAATGAAATTAAATAAATATTTTCCAACAAAGTAATTTTGTACACTTCAAATAACATGTGAGCTACAACTATTGCTAATTATTAATTAACAGTTAGGTTAACAAAAACACTAACAAAATGAATTTTTTTCCTTATCATTAAGTGACATTTTTAATTTATGAATCAAAATGATATGTGAATATGATTCAAACTTTGAGGACCATAAGTGTAATCTATTAACCATTTTGTGTTTCTTTTATTGCTACTACTAGTTCTTAACCAACATGCATTTTATAGATAAATTGTGTAATAAATTCATTGTAAACCATATAACTTAATTAATAAGTCTAAATTTGTACTTATAAATTTTTTACATTAGCCTAAAAACTTAAAAAAAAAAAACATGTACAATTCTAGACACTAAATATTTATGTATTATTTCTCCCATTCCATTTTGTAAATGTCTCTTTTTTGATGTACCTTATTTTAAACTTTTAAATTTTTTTATAAAATTCATATTTCATGGTTTTTAATGGAAAAATATATTTGGAATATAGAATAAGTAAGAATATCAAGTATTCCAAAATAATAAAAAAATAACATAATTTTTAAACAATAAAAAAAAGTTAATAACACATTTGAAACTTGAATATTTGATATAAAAAAAATCGCAATAGATACTCCAACTTTCATTTCATGAAACAAATTGCACGCGGATGACATGTTCAAGAACACATAACCATAACGCGTCACATGCCTAACAATATCACATCATTTTCTCCATTTTTTAAAAAAAAATTATTTTTAAAAATTAAAAATATTCAAAAAAAAAGAATGGTGGAAAAAAAAAAGGAAAGCAGTGTAGAGATAGAGAAGGAAAGAGAGGGGTGGAAAGGGTTGACAGCCCACTCCCCCTCCCCACCCGTCCTCCTTCCATTTCTCCCTCTTTTCTTTTACTCTTTGCCCTCACTCTCTTCGATTTCCCTCTCCTTCATTTTTTTGAAATTTTTAATTCAAGAATTTTAAAAATAAAAAATAAAGGAAAAAAAAGTAATTGGACATATTTGTAAACATGTAGCATGATATGATTGAGTGTTTTTAAACACATGTTGATTGATGAATTTAGTAAAGTACAATATTCTTTTAATAGAATGAAAATTGGAGTACTTAATTGTAATTTTATTTTTCTTTTAATACGTAATAGACAACTTTAGTATAGTTAGGATACCAAATACACTGACAATTTTACTATAGTTAGGTTACCAAATACGTAATTGACCCAAATAAAAAAGTTAGACAAAAAGGTGACATGAAAATAAAATTTTAAGAATTTTATTGACTTACTTATATAAAATTATTGTCATTATTGAATATACTATAATAAACTAACATACATATATTAATGTTATTATTTGGTAAACTAACCAAAATGTGACAAAGAGAGTCAAATTCTTTCGATAATCATTCTGGAAAAGACACACAAAAAAACAAGCAGACAAACGCAACTTGAGTTCGATTCAAACTCACCAAATGTCTGCCATGATTACTGTCAAAAGCTCGAGCAATTATCCCTTTGTTAGGTTATAAATTATTTTCATTGCAACCTTGTCTTTTCCTCTCCTAAGTCTTGTCCTCTTAAATGTCTTTTAGTTAACTGAGTATTGTAATTATTAGCAATCAATCAAAAAGCAAGTTTGTTTCAAAGCTCTATTTCAACTTCTTAAAACAAGGGAAAAGAGTTAGTTCTTCGTCCTTGTCATTCAGAGCGTCTTTCAATGGCATTTTCACCAAACTCAAGCCACCCTCTTTTGGATCTGGCCAAACTCGGTCAGGGACCAAGGTTCCAACCCATTCTGGGGCGTGTAGGCCGAGTCTTTTGTTTTTTTTAACGATCTGTTTTCAGCTATACATTTTTGGCGATTCCACATCCACACCACAAACCTTTCCCAACAAAGCATATTAAAAGATTAAAAAAAATGAATTTAATCAGATTTGTTAACTTAAAATTGCTCTACATTTAAAGCATTTTAATTTAAAATGACTCGATATATTATAATATTGCGTAACTTTTAGTTTGAACGATTCAAATGACTAGATATATTAAGTAACTTTCTTTTAATAAAATTAAAATTATAATAAAATTTTAAATATATGATTTAATTATTTTACTTAGTAGAGTAAATCAATAAAAAAATCAACAAAATCTAACATAAAATTAGCTACAAGATTTTAATATAATATCTAAAAATATTAAAATCAAAGCTTGTTTGGTCTAGTTTTTTTGTTTTAATTTAAAAGCTATTATAAAGCTCTTATGAAAAATAATACTTTTTAAATTTAAATTAAACTTGTTTAATAAATTTACTGTCATCAGTTTTTTTTATAGATAAGTTATTTGATAAAATAATTTATATAAGCTCTAATCTTAATTAAAATTATCATAAAAGATATTTAATAAATAATTTTCTATTAATTACAAATTACTTTGTTCACAATGAAAAAAAGTTAATTTTATTTTCTTATTTATTTAAAACAAAATTTTGAAAATATAAAAAATATTTTTATGTAACATAAATTTTATAATTAATAATAAATCATAAAAAAAGGAGTTTCACAAATAACTTATAAGTAGCACATAATTTATAGATAACTTATAAATTAATGATTTCTATTTTTCATCAATGCAGCAACTATTTAGTTACGAACTCTATCCATATAACTATCATCCAATACTCTTTTATAAGTATATGAACTCATTTCTTTATTATTATTTTTTTCTTCTTAACTCTCAAGAATATAATTGAAATTATGATCACATCTGTTAAACTCTTCATTTATAACATCATATTGTCTAATATAGTTATGAAGTGTCATTGCTGCGACCATACTCTTTTCTTGTGTATCCATGGAAATGGCCTCATATCACATAAAATATACCACATGTTTTTCCAAACTCCAATTATTTGTTCAATGACATTTCTTAATGAAAAATGTGAATGGGTGAATGGTTGAATGTTTCTTTTATACCTTCTAGTTGACTGCAACTTCTAAAATTAAGAATGTGATATATTTCACTTTTATAAGGTGTTAGATACCCTTTCATATTAGAATAATCAACATCCACTACATAATATTTATTTAAGAAAAAAATTAAAGATTTCAGTATTAATTCATTAAAAAATTCAAGAGATAAATATAAAAAATCATAAATTTTATATCATAAAAATTATAAGTTGTACCTTACAAACAGTGAAGGAATATGCTTTTCATTTCTTTAAATACAGTTGAAAAGGTATGAGTATCATGTGCAGTGCTAGGCCAACCAACAACCACAAAAGTGAATAGTATGTCAAAGTTAAATACTAACATGAAGTCTTGTGTTGTATATCTCTTTCAACTAATAAAATGAATTTGATCATTAGCAAGAGGAATGTGTAGAAGGAGAAAAATTATCAACCAATTACGTGCTGTCACGTGGATTTAATGATATCATAACCATGTAATTAATTCTAAAATAATTAATTTATTAGTTGGATTATTTTAAAGGCATATAGTAAAACCAATTCACCTATTAGTATATATTTATCCCATGAGATTGACCAATTAAAAATTAATTATTGGTCATCCAATTTATCTCTAAATAAATCAAAATAATTTAGAGATAATATTCATCTTTTTGACCAATCAAAAATTAGTTATTGGTCATCCAATTTATCTCTAATAATTATTTTAATTTAGAGATAAAAATTAAATTTAATTATTTAACTTATTTCTAAATAAATAAAGATAATTTAGAGATAATACTTAACTTTGGCCAATCAAAACTCAAAGACTCAAGGTCCGGCCAATCAAAAGATTTGTAATGAGTCATCATAATTTATCTTTAAAAAATTTAAATAATTTAGAGATAATTCAAATAGACTGTATTCTCATCAAAGTCTCCCACCTAACATTATATATAAGGGACTCCTCCAAGCCATATTCATTCATTCAGAAGAATTCGAAGATTGATAAGCATTCAAAGGTTGAGAGCATTTCAGAGATCAAGAAGAACAGAAGATTTCTGAAGTGGTGAAGTTCGTGATCAAGCAATAACGAAGTTCATTATCAAGATCAAGTAGCAACGAAGTTCGTGATCAAGATATTAAGTGTTTTTCGTTATTACCAAGATCAAGTAGCAACGAAGTTCGTGATCAAGATATCAAGTGTTTATGATTAAGATCAAGTCATGAAGATCCTTAAAGAGAATATATCAAGTATTCGTGGTCAAGATTAAGTCATGAAGACCCTTGAAACGAAGATCAAGTAAAGTTCGTGATCAAGACTAAGTCCGAGTTCGTGACTCTTGAAGACAAAGTGAAGAAATTAATTAGGAGAATTTTCAGAGATTATTACTCACATCTTTAAATTTTTGTATTTGTCCCATAAATTTGTGTGTATAGAATAACAGGAACGTGTGATCCATCTATAACACTCTTGAAAATAAAGTCAATATCTATGATCATTTTTTATTTTAGATAAAACTCCTGTAAATTGAAAATTTGAAGCTTTGACAATTTCATTGGTTAGAAAAACATAAACTATCTAACACTTCACCGAACTTATTAGTAATGATCTCTCTCAATTTTTCAAATTTATTTTGGACATTACAATTTGTTTCGCTGTACACACAAGTCCAAAGTAACATAGTGACTACCTCTAATGCTGTCATATCTTTATATTGATGTAACTATCCTTTATTCATCTATCTTTATATTGATGTAACTATCCTTTATTCATCAATGTATTTATAAGTTGCAATACAACATGCAATTTCATCCTAAACATTTTATAACTTTCACTCGCAGTTTGTAAAATTTTA